AGAGACAGAATTCAGAAGATGGGCCGTTCTTACAGTGTTCTCCCTGTACACCAAGTCAGAACTGTATGATAAGTAAAGGGGGCATATAAACAGTCAATGAAAGGTCTTACAATATTTGATGATTACATTTCTCTAAAACGGGTGTGCAGGGAGAACACCAAGTCAGAACAGTCTAAATTATGAGGGGGAAAGGGACCAAATTATTAGTGTGAGGCACATGGTCTACCAGCAGCTTACAACACAACATACACTTACTATTACTTTCTTAGCTACAGTATACATATCTCCCTGGCGTATTACATCATTTATGAAGCAGCATACAATATATTTTTGGACTCACCTTGTTGTGCTGTGCTCACTTGAACAGTAAGGTGGCGCAGCGGTCCTTTTGGGCAAATTTTGTCATCAAACTTTGTCATCAAAGTCTGGCATTCTCTGGATTTATGGTGCTTTCAAGACAACTGGGAACTCTGAAAAAAACAAGGTCGAATCATGACGTCAGTGATCTTCAGGTCAGAGCTCTAGAAAGAGGCCCGAGTTCCCGACTTGGAATTCCGAGTTGGCTGACCTTTCGAAACGTATTTTCCCAGTAGGAGCTCGTTTTTATTTAGAGTTCCCAGTTGTCTTGAACTCACTGAAGTCTGAGATTTCCCAGTTCCGAGTTTCCAGTTCTTTTGAACTTGGCAGAAGTCATGCTGGATTGACAGCATGGCCAATGTATTCAAACTTTTCTGGCGTTGAATGTTTATCCTTTTAAGCTTGGAAAAAAGACCCTTAAACCCAGACTTGGACCACACACCTACTCCACTGAATAGCAGTCTAGTGATTGCTTTGCAACGCTTGCAGTTAGCCACTGATTCCTTCCAAACCACTCATTGTTGAATTTGCGATTTCCAACTTGTTGTGTAATGTTTATGTCCAATGGCCTGATGAGCACTTATACGTTTTATCTATAATTTCTCTTCATATTACAAGGATTTGCCAGTAGATTGTCAACATGATTCATGATGATGACTGCTTGTCTAGCTTGCTAGCTAAGATTTTGAAAGAATGATGTTGACATGATCAGTCCAATCAAAGCTACAGTAGATATAACGTGATTTGACGTCATTTTATCTGTGGCCAATGACCTTGAGCCTTCTTGGATGGGCACTTCTAATGTAAGTCTATGGCAGCACCCAAGGGGCTTGAATTCTCGAGCTCTCCCCGTAGATTTTGCGGTGACGTAGTGTCCCCACCCAGCCAATCACGGCGCAACTTGAGAACATTACCAACACCTACGCTCCGTGTATTTTCCACTTTACATACACTTAGGTTGGAGTCCTTAAAACTCATTTTTCAACCACTCCACAAATTTCTTGTTAACAAACTATAGATTTGGCAAGTCGGTTAGGACATCTACTTTGTGCATGACACAAGTAATTTTTTATAGACAAATTATTTCACTTATAATTCACTGTATCACAATTCCAGTGGGTCATAAGTTTACATACACTAAGTTGACTGTGCCTTTAAACAGCTTGGAAAATTCCAGAAAATGATGTCATGGCTTTAGAAGCTTCTGATAGGTTAATTGACATCATTTGAGTCTATTGGAGGTGTACCTGTGGATGTATTTCAAGTCCTACCTTCAAACTCAGTGCCTCTTTGCTTGACATCATGGGAAAATCAAAAGAAATCAGCCAAGACCTCAGAAAAAAAATGGTAGACCTCCACAAGTCTGGTTCATCCTTGTGAGCAATTTCCAAATGCCTGAAGGTACCACGTTCATCTATACAAACAATAGTATGCAAGTATAAACACCATGGAACCACGCAGCCGTCATACCGCTCAGGAAGGAGACGCGTTCTGTCTCCTAGAGATGAATGTACTTTGGTGCGAAAAGTGCAAATCAATCCCAGAACAACAGCAAAGGACCTTGGGAAGATGCTGGAGGAAACAGGTACAAAAGTATATATATCCACAGTAAAACGAGTCCTATATCAACATAACCTGAAAGGCTGCTCAGCAAGGAAGAAGCCACTGCTCCAAAACCGCCATAAAAAAGCCAGACTACGGTTTGCAACTGCACATGGGGACAAAGATCTCATTTTTTGAGAAAATTCCTCTGGTCTGATGAAATAAAAATAGAACTGTTTGGCCATAATGACCATCGTTATGTTTGGAGGAAAAAGGGGGATGCTTGCAAGCCAAAGAACATCATCCCAACCGTGAAGCACGGGGGTGGCAGCATCATGCTGTGGGAGTGCTTTGCTGCAGGAGGGACTGGTGCACTTCACAAAATAGATGGCATCATGAGGAAGGAAAATTATGTGGATATATTGAAGCAACATCTCAAGACATAAGTCAGGAAGTTAAAGCTTGGTCGCAAATGGTTCTTCCAAATGGACAATGACCCCAAGCATACTTCCAAAGTTGTGGCAAAATGGCTTAAGGACAACAAAGTCAAGGTATTGGAGTGGCCATCACAAAGCCCTGACCTCAATCCTATAGAAATTTTGTGGGCAGAACTGTAAAAGCGTGTGCGAGCAAGGAGGCCTACAAACCTGACTCCGTTACACCAGCTCTGTCAGGAGGAATGGGCCAAAATTCACCCAACTTATTGTGGGAAGCTTGTGGAAGGCTACCCGAAATGTTTGACCCAAGTTAAACAATTTAAAGGCAATGCTACCAAATACTAATTGAGTGTATGTAAACTTCTGACCCACTGGGAATGTGATGAAAGAAATAAAAGCTTAAATAAATAATTATCTCTACTATTATTCTGACATTTCACATTCATAAAATAAAGTGGTGATCCTAACTGACCTAAGACAGGGAATTTTTACTCTGATTAAATGTCAGGAATTGTGAAAAACAGAGTTTAAATGTATTTGGCTAAGGTGTATGTAAACCTCCGACTTCAACTGTATATTTATGAGTGTGTGATATGGGGGTTGGTTGGCAAAACTTTTACAAACAATGGCAACACTGCCATGTTGCACTGAGCCTTATTGCTGTTGTAAAACCACATCAGGGTCTGACTTTGAGCTGTAGCAGATGCACCTCCCCCAACTTCACTCCTCGACTTTCGTCTGCAGTCGATTGCTTCTGCCATCCACTCAAACGAGCCCATTATCTGTTAAGTCAGAGTTTTCCAAACTCGGTCCTGGGGCCCCCCTTGGGGTGCATGTTTTGGTTTTTGCCCTAGCACTACACAGCTGATTCAAATAACCAACTCATCATCAAGCTTTGATTATTTGAACCAGCTGTATAGTGCTAGGGCAAAAAACTAAACGTGCACCCAGGGGTTCCCCAGGACCGAGTTTGGGAAACCCTGTGTTAAGTGACAGGTTGGAAAAGAGAGGGATTTATGCCGTGTTCACATGCTAGCCGGAACTAGGAAACTTGAAAATGTCTGACTTGCTAGCTGGTTGAACGCAGCACTTGTATAACCAGTTAACAAGTCGAAAATGTCAGTTTCCTAGTTCTGGCATAACCAGACAGAATGAAAAATATTATGCTTAGGTATTATGTCAGTGTTAATTAAGGCTGGTCCTCAGGTATTGGAAAATCTTTAATAATCCAATGTTTACAGAATGGATGAATATGTTGATTAAAACAACATATGAAATCATGTTAGCAAAGACTGGAGAAAATAATAGAGACAGACTCAAAAAAGATATGGGAAAGATTCTTGTTGTTCCTTAAAGGCACATAAAATAATATAATGGCCATGAAATAGCCTATCATCTATCAGAAGAAAAAACTAACTAAACAAAAAATACTCTCCATTTGTGTGTTTCTGTATAGTTTGGTGTACTGTATGGTTGTTTTGTGTTGAATATTAAGAATTAAATAAATTGTCTATACCAAAAAAAGGTGGAAGGAGCTGACACCGAAATGGAACTGGACCCGAGAACCGAACCGAGGTGCCAGGGTTCCGGTGAACCGAACGAGAGACGTCCATTTGTTGCCCAGCAACGCTCCTCGGCGTCCTCTGGAGTTTGCAGTGACTGCTGGGACTCTGAGGCCCGACTGAGCGACCGCCCTTTTTAGACGAAGGAGAGAAGAGCAACGCTGCAAGAGTGGGGAGAGAGCTATACGCAAAAACAACTTAATAAACCGGCAGAACCTAACTTGAGGTATGTTTTCTGATGTATGAGGTGAAATATTTCGGCCAAATGATGTCTAAATTAGGAAATGTGTCAGGAAAAAGTGTATTTTAATGCGCGATTTGATGACGTAATGGCGATGGTCAAACTCGAAATGGCGAGAGCCTTTACGGGCCTATTTGAAATTATTAGCTACTGTAACTTGTTGGCTAACGTTAACTGGATTATTTGCTGTTTCTTATAACCCATGATGTAGCGTTGGTATTATTAGGTACACATTGTGATTAAATATATATATATATATATCGTTAAGTTTGATTTTACGTCCCTCAATTATAGCCAGAGGCCTTCTGCTGCAGCTAAGCTAGCTAGCTACCCGTTAGCATTGCCTGCTATTTTCAATTGGTCAACTTGATGCAAATCACACTGCTGTCAAACGCATGATTGGCTGAATTGGACGTCTTTCTCTTTGCATCGGTAATATTCTATTGGATAATACATGAGGTTGACGCGATTTTCCCGCCTCGAACGTCATCATATTTCATGATGAAAAATCAGAAATACTCAAATACCATTTTGTACATACCACAAACATAGCATTAGTTCCCTCAAATAATGCCCACATTGGCAGATAAAGATGAAAAAATAATATATATATATATATATATATATATATATATTCATAAAAGCTACAGAATGCCCAATGATAACATTTTATTTCAATCAAAATGTTAAACTTACATTACTGTCTGTCGATCAATAGGCTGTGACATGTTGTTCATATTTTACTTGTTTGCCCAAATGTAATTGTGCACTCAGACCACATAGTCTGTCATTACTGGTGATGTGAAGAGTGTGCCATCTCTGCATGGATTTCTTCGTTGTGCCCAGGTGAGGGGCTGAGCCATGGCAGATGAGGGTGAGGAGGAGTGTGGTAATGAGTTCCCAGCCCATTATAAAGTCATGCTGGACAAACTGAATGAACAGAGACAGCTGGACCAGTTCACAGACATCACTCTCATAGTGGACGGTAAGCTCATCCCCAGTGATGTTTGTTGTATTGCAGAAAGTGAAGGTGCATCTTTAGCTTGTCCACTGAAAGTTAGTTATATATTTTGTTCATACAAAAACAGCCTTGTTTCAGCCATGTAGGTTAATAGTAAAACAAACAAAACGTTTTTTAATGTCATTGTGTTAAGGAAAAATGTCCACATTGTATGAAGGATTCTGTTATGTGCTGTACCATTCATGTGTTCATCTTACCTCTGATCTGTAGGGCACCAGTTCAGGGCTCATAAGGCAGTGTTGGCAGCGTGCAGTCAGTTCTTCCACAAGTTCTTCCAGGACTTCACACAGGAGCCACTAGTGGAGATTGAAGGTATGTACTGCTGAACCACTGACGCATCCACTGACGTCTGTCTGTCATCAATCAATCAAGAAAATAAACGATAGCAGAAAGCGTTATAGCCCCTGAGAAACAAAACAAAGGCCTACATCCACTTCTCATAATAACTATAGACTATCACGCGATAACCCAATGTACCCATCAATCCCCTGTGTTGTGCAGGAGTGAGTAACTCAGCTTTCCACCAGCTGATGGAGTTTACGTACACGGCTACGCTGGCTGTCAGTGGGCCAGAGGAGGTCAACGACGTGTGGAAGGCAGCAGAGTACCTCCAGATGCAGGAGGCCATCAAGGCCCTCAACAACAGGTTGGACTGCCATTATAACATCTTACAGTGCCTTCAGAAAGTATTCATACCCCTTGACTTATTCCACATTTTGTTGCGTTAGAGCCTGAATTCAAAATAGATTAAATTGTTTTTTTTCTCTCACCCATCCACACACAATACCCCATAATGACAAAGTGAAAACATGTTCATAAAAATGTCAGCAAACTTATTGTAAATGAAATACAGAAAATATTCTACCCCACCCCCCCCCCCAAAAAAAAATAAAAAATATATATATATATTGTAAAGTGGTTGTCCCACTTGCTATCATAAGGTGAATGCACCAATTTGTAAGTCGCTCTGGATAAGAGCGTCTGCTAAATGACGAAAATGTAAATATTAGAAACACCTTTGGCAGTGATTACATTGTGAGTCTTTCTGGGTACGTCTCTAAGCGCTTTGCACACCTGGATTGTCCAATATTTGCACATTATTCTTTTTTAAATTCTTCAAGGTCTGTCAAGTTGGTTGTTGATCATTGCTAGACAGCCATTTTCACGTCTTGACATAGATTTTCAAGCTGATTTAAGTCAAAACTGTAACTAGGCCACTCACTTGGTAAGCAACTCCAGTGTATATTTGGCCTTGTGTTTTAGGTTGTTGTCCAACTGAAAGGTGAATTAGTCTCCCAGTGTCTGTTGGAAAGCAGAATGAATCAGGTTTTCCTCCAGGATTTTGCCTGTGCTTAGCTCTATTCCGTTTATTTTTATCCTAAACTCCCTAGTCCTTGCCGATGACAAGCATATCCATATCATGATGCAGCCACCACCATGCTTGAAAATATGAAGTGGTACTCAGTGTTGTGTTGGATTTGCCCCAAACATAACGCTTTGTATTCAGGGAAAAGGTAAATTTCTTTGCCACATTTTTTGCAGTTTTACTTGAGTGCGTTATCGCAAATAGGATGCATGTTTTGGAATATTTTTTATATATATTCCTTATTTTCACTCTGTCATGTAGGTTAGTATTGTAGAGTAACTACAATGTTGTTGATCCATCCTCAGTTTTCGCCTGTCACGGCCATTCCACTCTGTAACTGTTTTAAAGTCACCATTGGCCTCATCGTGAAATCCCTGAGCGGTTTAGGAAGGATACCTGTATCTTTGTAGTGACGGTGTATTGATACACCATCCAAAGTGTAATTAATAACTTCACCATGCTCAAACGGATATTCAATGTTTGCTTCTTTTTTTAACCAATCTGCCAATAGGTGCCCTTCTTTGAGAGGCATTGGAAAACCTCCCTGGTCTTTGTGGTTGAATCTGTGTTTGAAATTCACTGCTTGACTGAGGGACCTTACATATAATTGTGTGGGGCACAGAAATGAGGTAGTCCATGCAATTTATTAAGTGACTTGTTAAGCAAATGTTTTACTCCTGAACTTGTTTAGGCTTGCCATAACAAAGGGTTTGAATACTTATTGACCCAAGACATTTCAGCTTTTCATTTTTGTATAATTTGTCAACATTTCTCAAAACATAATTCCACTTTGACATTATAGGGTATTGTGTGTAGGCTAGTGACGCAATCTCAATTTTAATAAATTGTAAATTCAGGCTCTAACACAACAAAATGTGGAAAAAGCCAATAAGTGTGAATACTTTCTGAAGGCTAGCCCCCTTTTGGTGTGGTCTTATGTTGGGTTCTATTCTTGTTTTAATGGTATTTTATCCCTGTCTGTTGGAACGTAAAGCACTTTGAATGAATAGAACCCTCTCTCTCTTTCTTCATAGGATGGGTGATGGCACCCTCTTCCAGCTCTCCCAGGCTCTGGCAGCGGGGAATAGCAAGGCCAAGAAGAGGAAGATATCTGAGACATTTAACATGATCGCTGAGACTCTTCCGTCAGTGGAGGGGGAGCAGGTTAGAGATATACAATGGCACATTATGTTTATAGTTGTTATGACATAGAATTATGATGTGCATAAAGTGCTAAAAAGTGTCCCAAATTATCCTCTTCGTCATCCATCCTTTCCTCCTGATACGTATTGCTGTGCTGACCCCAGTCTGTCCTTGCAGGTGGAGATTGAGGTGGAGATCGGGGAGGGTACCATCGAGGTGGAGGAGACGGGGCTGGAGGAGGTGGTGGACGCTGCTCGGAACGCCCAGGCAGTCTCGGACGACTCGGCCCTGGCTCTGCTTGCTGACATCACCAGCAAGTACCAGCAGGGGGGGCTAACGCTGCACGTCCTGAAGAAGGAAGGACTGGACGAGGTAAACAAAGCACTCTGTTTGTCTAATGCACGTGTAAAAACAACACACTTGGAAGGACCGTGACCAACCTTGATTCAATTTTTTTGTTTTGTTGAGGTTTACAATCTCTCAAAACAAATCATCCTTTCATCTCAATGCATCCATACATAATGAAAAATAAACGATGGTATTGGTGTGTGGTTGATCCAGGAGGTGGTGTATCAGGAGGAGACAGTGACAGCTCCCAAGACTCTCGAGAGTCTGGAGGTGGTCGAGGTCCAGATCTCTCAGCTGGACAAGATGTTCCGCTGCAACAAATGTGATCGCAGCTTCCGCCTCTACTACCACCTCAAACAGCACATGCGCGCTCACATGGCCGCACTGGACAAACCCCATGCGTGTTGCCACTGTGGGAAGGCGTACACGCGGGAGGGGGCGCTTAAACAGCACCTGAACACATTACATTACGAGGCGGAGGAGCTGTCGCGCAGCCAGTGCCAGAAGAAGAAGACTCACGTGTGTGAGTACTGTGACAAGCAGTTTGACCACTTTGGACACTTCAAGGAGCACCTACGAAAGCACACTGGTAAGAGTTATCATACCAAGAGGGATTCATTCAGGGGTTCAAGTTCATATTTGTAGAAGTGCCAGAGTTAACTACACACTGAGTGTACAAAACATTAGGAACAGATGCTCTTTCCATGACAGACTGACCAGGTGAATCCAGGTGAAAGCTATGATCCCTTATTGATGTCACTTGTTAAATCCACTTCAATCAGTGTAGATGAAGGGGAGGAGACAGGTTAAAGAAGGATTTTTAAGCCTTGAGATAATTGAGACATGGATTGTGTATGTGTGCCATTCAGAGGGTGAATGGGCAAGACAAAATATTTAAGTGCCTTTGAACGAGATATGGTAGGCGCACCGGTTTGAGTGTGTCAAGAACTGCAACACTGCCTGTTTTTTCACACTCAGCAGTTCCCCGGGTGTATCAAGAATGAACCACCCAAAGGATATCCAGCCAACTTGACACAACTATGGGAAACATTGGAGTCAACATGGGCCAGCATCCCTGTGGAACGCTTTTGACACCTTGTAGAGCCATGCATGCCCTGACGAATTGAGGCTGTTCTGTTCAAGGTGTTCCTAATGTTTTGTGCACTCGATCGGTGTATGCAGATGTGCATTTGTAGTTCCTAGGCAGACTAAAACATAGCATCAACAGCACTTCATTGCACTTATCAACAGCACTTTACTTCAACAACACCTTTCTTCTCTCTCTGAGTAGGATCTCTTTGATTGTGCATTAATGAGTGAGTGACCTGTTCTTGTGAATGTGAATCCGACCACCTCAATAGGATCTCCTGATTTATGCAATGGATGTAATAAGTTGTTTATCCCCTGTGTGTGTAGGTGAGAAACCGTTTGCGTGTCCAGACTGCCATGAGCGCTTTGCCAGGAACAGCACATTGAAATGTCACATGGCTGCCTGTCAGAACGGCGCCGGGGCCAAGAAGGGACGCAAGAAACTCTATGAATGTCAGGTGCAGAGAACACTCTTGGCTTTTCCTGATTTACTTCCCTGAGTAGTGTATTTGCTGGGTTGTTAAATTACCTCTCCCCCCTCCCCAGGTGTGCAGCAGTGTGTTCAACAGCTGGGAGCTGTTTAAAGACCACCTGACGACCCACACAGGAGAAAAGCCTAACCACTGCACCATGTGTGACCTCTGGTTCACCCAGCCCGACGACCTCCGCCAACATCTCCGCGTCCTGCACGGCATCACAGACGACAAGCTGATAACCCAGGAACTGGTCATCGCCGCCATGGCAACGCAAGAGGAAGTGGCCGGGGAGGAGGAGGAGGGAGGCGGGAGAGAGACCCTTCTACTGGAGGACGGGATGAGCGTGGAGCATGTTACCGTGGAGCCTGTAGATGTGGTAGCATTGGAGGAAACGGCCATGTTGGTTGATGGGGAGGTGACAGAGATGTGTGAGGAGGACATAGAGAGACTGAAGGAAGCGGGGGTGGAGATCCGGGTGGTGCAGGTGTCAGCGGAGGGACAGGTGAACTCTGAGATCCAGGTGGAAGGGAGCGAGGTGGAGGAGGAGTCGCAACAGGCTGTTGTTGTATGAAGCAGGAGCGGGGCGCCATCTCAAATCATACCCTATTCCCCATATATACACTACCTTGGCTCTGGCTAGAAGTAGTGCATTGTATGGGGAATAGGGTTTTATTTGAGATGTGCCTGCTGATTTTTGTCAAACTGGAAAAGCTCCCCCTTACCCCCCCCTCACCCTATGGATAATAGGGTAACGTACAGAGACAAGGATTGGAAGGTACTCATATTTCTAGATGGTATTTATTTAGAGCCTGATGTCATGGCTCTGTCTTCCTCTGTCTTTGTCTGTGGCAGAGATGGACCCGCTGAATGCCTTCACAATGAACCCGTTCAAGGTTTCGTTTCGATCTTTTTTTTGCTTTCTTTCGTTTTTTACGTTTTAGGATGTACATTTGAGATGATCAATATTAATTTGCTAAGACAATATGCCATCCATAAAGATCCCTTCTCATTTCTATGGTGTCACCAGCAGACACCAGTTATTGATTGGTATGCACCGTCTGTCATACGGCTGATAGTCCTCACTGATGATGCCAGACGTTTCCCAGTTTGAACCCATCTGAAGCACAGATCTGTTTGTGGAAAAATAATTCTGAGCTTGACTAAAGAAAGAGCATGTTTGTAATGGTGTCCTGCCCCTAACTGGTAAAAATAGCTTTATTTTCTTAATATTTTAATCAGTTTGTATAGCAGGAGAATGGCTGTTAGCGTGTGTACGTTTGTTTCCCCCCCGCCCCCCATTTCCCTGCTTGACTTCCTGTCTACCTCTTCCTACTTCCTGTTCTGACTGCAGCCCACAAGACACTGGGTTTTATGTATGATACTGTTACAACATGATGCTCCTCAGAAACAGAAGTGAGAAAGTATTAAGTGAACATGTTTTGTTTGTTTTTTATTTGACTAATGTTCATAATTGCATTGTTTTATTTGTACAGAGCAATAAAGAAGTGATGTAATCAATAAACGTGTCCACACCAGCATTTCTTACAATGCTTTCAAATGTGCCTGACTGAGAAGTGGAAGGACTGAAGATGAGATGTTTAGCTTACTAGACATGAAGAATGAACCCCCCAAAAATGTATGCATGCTTGTAAATATAAATGTGGCTTATGTAAACCACAGTGGTTCTGTCTGTTGTTGTTTACTGCGTGTCTCTCTGTCGCTCTTCTTCTTTCCACCACAGCAGAAGGACCTGGAGAGGGCAGCATACAGACGGTTTCATATCAACAGCGGTGACGATGGTGTCCCGAACACTTTGTCCTCCTCAAGGAAACCGCTTACCATAACCTTTGGGTATCCTGCCAGAGCCTGGTCAAATAGGGTCAAGGATGTGTGGACAGGGAATTTGGACTATGATCTTTCAAATGGTCATCCTCAGAACTTTATGACACAGCATCACTTGGGCCTCATCACTGGCTTCCACATCATTGGCTGTTGGCATCATCCTCTGACTAACCGGTACATGGCCCCGTCCATCGTCCCTGAGGATTGGAAGGTACTCATCGTACAGTTTTTTTTCATTTTTTATTTACATTTTAGTCCTTTAGCAGAACCGCTCTTAGCCAGAGCGACTTACCGGAGCAATTAGGGTTAAGTGCCTTGCTCAAGGGCAACATTAAACGTCATTTAGCAGACGCTCTTAGCCAGAAGCGACTCCAAATGGTGGTGCGTTCACCCTATAGCCATGTGGATAACCACTTTTACAATTTGGGGGGGTGGGGGGTGTTTTTCCCTCAAAATGTTTCCCTCATCAATCTACAACATCAATACCCCATAGTTGACAAACGCAAAAACTTGGTTTTTTGAGAACATTTGCCAATTTATAAAAACATAAAAAAGCGGAAATATCACAATTTACATAAGTTTTCAGACCCTTTACTCAGTACTTTGTTGAAGCACCTTTGACAGTGATTACAGCCTTGAGTCTTCTTGGGTATGACGCTATAAGCTTGGCACACCTGTATTTGGGGAGTTTATTCAATTTTTCTCTGCAGATCCTCTCAAGCTCTGTCAGGTTGGATGGGGAGAGTCACTGCACAGCTATTTTCAGGTCTCTTCAGAGATGTTCGATCAGGTTCAAGTCCGGGCTCCGGCTGGGCCACTCACGGACATTCAGAGACTTGTCCTGAAGCCACTCCTGCGTTGTCTTGGCTGTTTTCTTAGGGTTGTTGTCCTGTTGGAAGGTGAACATTCGCCCCAGTCTGAGGTCCTGAGCACTCTGGAGCAGGTTTTCATCAAGGATCTCTCTGCTCTGTTAATCTTTCCCTCGATCCTGACTAGTCTCCCAGTCCCTGCTGCTGAAAAATATCCCCACAGCATGATGCTGCCACCACCATGCTTCACCGTAGGGATGGAACCAGGTTTCCTCCAGACGTGACCCTTGCCATTCAGGCCAAAGAGTTCAATCTTGGTTTCATCAGAACAGAGAATCTTCTTTCTCATGGTCTGAGAGTCCTTTAGGTGCCTTTTGGCAAACTCCAAGTGGGCTGTCATGTGCCTTTTACTGAGGAGTGGCTTCCATCTGGCCACTCTACCATAAAGGCCTGATTGGTGGAGTGCTGCAGAGATGGTTGTCCTTCTGGAAGGTTCTCCCATCTCCACAGAGGAACTCTGGAGCTCTGTCGGAGTGACCGTCGGGTTCTTGGTCACCTCCCTGATCAAGGCCCTTCTCCCCCAATTGCTCAGTTTGGCCGGGCATCCAGCTCTAGGAAGAGTCTTGGTGGTTCCAAACTTCTTCCATTTAAGAATGATGGAGGCCACTGTGTTCTTGGGGACTTGCAATGCTGCAGGAATTGTTTGGTACCCTTCCCCAGATCTGTGCCTCGACACAATCCTGTCTCGGAGCTCTATGGACAATTCCTTCGACCTCATGGCTTGGTTTTTGCTCTAACATGCACTGTCAACTGTGGGACCTTATATAGACAGTGTGTGCCTTTCCAAATCATGTCCAATCAATTGAATTTACCACAGGTGGACTCCAATCAAGTTGTAGAAACATCTCAAGGATGATCAGTGGAACAGGATGCACCTGAGCTCAATTTCAAGTCTCATAGCAAAGGGTCTCAATACTTATGTACATTTCTAAAAACCTGTTTTCGCTTTGTCATTATGGGGTATTGTGTGTAGATTGATGAGGAAAAACATTAATTTAATCAATTTTTTAATAAGGCTGTAACGTAACAAAATGTGGAAAAAGTCGAGGGGTCTGAAAACTTTCTGAATGCACTGTATATCACTCATTGGCCTATCCCTCTGTGCTGGCACAGATGTACTATTCACAGGGATCCTCTCAGAATCCCTCACCTTTGACCCATCCTCCTCTACTTTCTTCACTGCCTCAGCATTCTGCACTACGCTGTTTTTTTACCCCCTTTTTCTCCCCAATTTTGTGATATCCAATTGCGAAATTATCTAGATATCCAATTATCTAGAGCACGATGAGCCAAGTAAAGCCCCCCCTGGCCAAACCCTCCCCTAACCCGGACGACGCTGGGCCAACTGTGCGCCGCCCTATGGGACTCCCTGTCACGGCCGGTTGTGACACAGCCTGGGATCGAACCCCAGGCTGTAGTGACGCCGCAACACCGCGATGGAGTGCCTTAGACTGCTGCACCGCTCAGGAGGCCTTACCTTCTGCACTACTCTGACTCTAGCCACCTCAACCTGCCTCTCTCGCACCGGACACTTCCGATCCCCAGCAACATAGGCACCCCTACAGTTGACACACGCAAATGTATCCACGAAACTACATCTTCTCACATCTTGAAATCTCCCTCCTACACACTGCTGCGACATGACCATAAACGTTGCACCTGTAACAGCGCAGTGGGTTCACCACAAAAGCTTGAACAGGATAACTGTTATATCCTAACATGACCTTGTCTTGTAAAGACTCTGACTCAAAACTCAAAAGGACTGACAGTGACTCCTCTGTTTCACCACGTTCACTATTGGGTCTGCGTCACACCATACAACGGGCGTCACAAACACCAGGAATCTTCATCTTCAATTGCTCCACCTCCACACTTAACGCTACCCCAGAAATCACTCCTTTCAATGGTGCCCTGTTCCTAAGAGCAAAGCAAGAACCAGATATTGACCCAAGTTGTGTGACATGGAGCACCCACTCCCTCTGATGAGAAGAAAAACAAACAAATATCACTACAAGTCCACTACAGGTTACCGTCACTGATTCAACTGCACCCAACTCCTTTTCCACCTACTCTGAAACCACTAATGTATCCGCCAAAAAGGCAAGAACGCACTTTCTCCTAAAATGTCACTCCTACTGGACCAGATTCTTCTTCATCATTTCCATCGATGCCGTGTTCGGGCTCCGAGCTCTTCACCACACCTTCCACCTCATTTAACTCACCCTCATTCACTTCCATTTCACCTCCAGAACTCGGTCTGGCGCACGGCTCAATTTGTTTGCACTTGGCACCAATCTTCTTCGACACCGCATCTACACTTTTATCGCCATCTTCCTCAAATTCAAATCCAACCTCTGCTTTCCTCAACCTCTTCAACCTCTTCTTCCTCTTTTCCCCCCTCCATTCCTCCTCAGAAATCCACCTTTCCGTGTCCCTGTCCCGATATTCCTCTACGCCCAACTTTGCTTGCGGCCCGGTGGCATCCCGGCGTAACTCCATCTCAAAACAATCCCCCCAGGCTGTCGTTCTCCTTCTTCTTCTTTAGTGGGGTTTATCGGCGGTTGGCGTCTAACTTTATGGTGCATTACCGCCACCTACTGTACTGGAGTGTGGGCCAGAGACAGGGAGTAACTAAATCCTACCTGCCAGCCCCGTTGCTCTTAAAAAGGTAACAAAATATTTGAGACTATATCTAATGACGTTCTACTCAATATACTCTTTAAACTAATTTCCTGTATCCCCTTCTCCCTCATACTAGATCTCATCCTGTCTCTTTCCCTCTGATACTGCCCACACTGTAGCAATACATGCTCCACGGTCTCTGTTTCCTGACAATAATCACACTTTCCTGTTGGATGCTTTCCTATCACATTTAATTTATTTATTTATTTTTATTTAACCTTTATTTAACCAGGTAAGCCAGTTGAGAACAAGTTCTCATTTACAACTGCGACCTGGCCAAGATAAAGCAAAGCAGTGCGATAAAAACAACAACACAGAGTTACATATGGGGTAAAAAAAAATACATAAAGTCAAAAAAATACAACAGAAAATATATATACAGTGTGTGCAAATGTAGCAAGTTATGGAGGTAAGGCAGGTAATGTCTTATTCAACTGGCTGTGTCCCACCCTTAATCTTGTAAAAATATCCTCCTCTCTTCTGTCCCTTCCTGCTGTCCTCCCCTCCCCGACTTTCCTCTGTACTTGAAATAAATGCCTTCCCTTATTATCTCTATTTCACTGCTCCTGCCATCTCTGCACCATCACTGTATATATCAGTCTTTTTGCCTCTGCCTTGCTCATTGAACCTTCAACATCAACATCCCCACTACTAAGTGCTTGTTTAGCCAGTTCATCTACTGCCTCGTTCCCCTCCACCCCCACATGGGCTGGGACCCATGTAAATCTTAGTAGTATACCCATCTGTTTAATCCTGCCATGGGTTTGTAGCACCTCATAAAGCAGGTATTTTCTGCTACGTGAGCTAAAGGACTGGAGACTCATTAACACTGCACATGAATCAGAGCAAATAACTATTCTGTCTGGCTTAACTTCCTCCACCCACTGCAAGGCCAACAGTATGGCCATCAGCTCCGCCGTATATACAGCCAGATGATCTGTAATACGTTTCCTGACCCCACATTCCTGCACTACAAATGCTGACCCAGTACGCCCTGTCCTTGGATCTTTTGAACCATCTGTGTAAATGGCCACAAAATCCTGATACACAGTATCCAGACGTCTCTTAAACAAATCAGATGGATCAACACCCTCCCTATCTTTCTGTAGTCTCTCCAACACTTCTAGATCAACTACTGGAGGCGGGAGTAGCCATGGTGGTCTGTCATTCTCCCAGCGGCATTAGTCCTAAATCGGAACTCCCACTCCTGTTCCAGTTGCCTCACTGTCTTTCTGACCTGATCAGCAGATACCGCTGTACTGGAGCGGCTCTGTCTCCTGCCTATGTACTGGAGTCATAGCTTAAAAATGGACCAATAGAAATATAAAGAGGGGTTCCTGCAGATGCAGGAATGCCCACACGCATGAACGCCCAGAATTGCCGGCTGCAGTTGCACCCTTCTTAATAAATCTGCCAAGGCACTGCTGCTCTTCTGATTGAGTCTTCTGTTGCCACATGGAAACTATCAACCATTTAAACATTTGAAAAATACTTTAACGCCCAGAATTTCGGGCTGCAGTTGCACCCTTCTTAATAAATCTGCCAGGGCACTGCTGCTCTTCTGATTTAGTATTCTGTTGCCACATGGAAACTATTAACCATTTAAACATTTGAAAAATACTTTAATTCATTGCTGAAAATCTGTAGGTACAGCTTTTACATTGTGGGCCTACGTGCTTTTGGCATCATAGTGCCACGGACGATTTTTTTGAACGCAGCAGGGGAACTCGGTCACACCGTACAGCCAATCGCGAAAATATTTGACGTCGTAATATGTCCATTCTCTCTTTCCTTCCATTAGCTAGCCAGTGTTTTGGCTAAATGAAAAGTGGTCCAACCAGAGAAAAGTTCCAGTGATTGCATCGTTTGAATTTCTTTCAGACAGTTCGTGTGAGCTGGTCTACAAGAACATTGGGAGACACGGTGAGCTCTGATAGCTTGCTGGCCAACTTTCTGCAATACATTAGACTGGGTTCAGTAAACAAACTAGCTAGCGTTAGTTAGCTAGCAATTAGCCATACTAGATTACCCTATCGTTGGGCTGGGCTAGGAAGCAACCAATGAAGAACTAGCTAACGTTAGCTAGCCAGTTAGCTGTAGAGATGAGAGGGCCAAAAAAAAGGTACAGGATACTGTCATTAGTCAGCAGTTTTTGTGTGGAATAAAATGCTAACTTTATTGTGTACGAAGGTTAACGCGTTAGCTATGGCTCTGTGTAACGTTAGCTAGCTAGCTATATGCTATCTAGTCTGTGTGGTTGTGTGTGGTGGAGGAATAGCTAGGCTAACTGAACATGACTGTAGATTGAACTCCAGATAGCTACTGAATGCCATCATCATATTATATATATATTGCTTTCTCTACTGAAAGCCATTGCCTTTTTCTTTACGTTCTATTAGAATGTAGTGTGTCAACCTTCTTTGGATTGATGGGATGTAACTTCGTTTGTCATCCATAGTAGTACGGTGGGGTCTACTAACGTTATGGCACAATCACACATTGCTTCCCATGAGATTGTTTTCTTGGCTTGAGTCAAGTAATTTCGGGAGTTTTTTGGGACATCGGGCTGTATTGTTGACTCCCTTGCCCAATGTCCCAAAATACTACCGAAGTTGCCCCCGAAGCTAGCTATGATTGTGATGCGAGACTAAATCAAATTCACCCTTTCTAAGGCAAGGTCAACTGACAGCTCACAGTGGAGAGAAGTCAAGGGTTATTGCAATTCTCAAAAGAAGCAATGTCGTTAAGCCTGTAGGATTGCCTGTATATAACTTTGTCATGTGTATGGTTCACAATACCCTGATCTTATTATTCCCATTGTCACTTTATTTGCTCTGTATGTATTTTTTTTACACTGCACAAGCATTGTCCTTAGCGGATAATACAGATCTAGGCTATTTAATATAATTATTAATCATCTCTGTCATACATCCACACGTGCTGCCCTACACGTGAGTAGTAGGATTGACACTTGTTTTGCTATGCATGGTTTAGACTGCATGCTACACTAACCTGAGGTAATTGAACAAAGAGTGCACAGCAAAGAAGCTCTGGCTGTCTGAAGGACTTGACTATTCCACAGCATTAGGAGATTAATGTCTAGTGGAGAAGTTGAAAACATTGATTTTAGTTGCTTATTTCAGCAGGTGTGAGACCATGGTGGTGAATCTCTGCCTACCACATTTCAAGACCACCATCCAGTGTGACAAGGTACAAAACATTTACATTGCGTTAGAATTTTATGGACTGGAGTAGCCAAAACTCCACTTGAAGTTCAGTACCTTGCTATCAAGTCAAAACACTAATCACCCATAATGTTTGCACCGCGGTGACTAACGCGGGATATGGCTTTCAAAACGTACCTCAGTCCAGGGATGGAAGATGTCTCTGTACTCGCTGTATATCCAGCGTTCGTGATTAGCGTTTCGACTTGATAGGATGGTACTGAACTTCAAGTCGAGGTTTGCTAGGACCAGAGCTGACATAATCCCCCTTGTCCCTCCATAGATCATGTTGGCTAACGTTGGTTCAATGTGTAACAATCTGAACAAATGGTCCTATTCCCAGTCAAAGCATATGGGAGAAAATGCTTCTAAATGAAAATCTAAAATGAGCATTCTTATTGGAAAAGTTTAGATACTCTCTTTCCTCCTCCTCTTCTTCATCCGGAGTATGACCCTGGCATCCAGCTGACAAAGCCGCTTTTCCTTTTGTCTTGTCACACCCCCCATGTCCTTCTCACCTACTGTGGTCATTTTCTGTCCTCTGGGTTTTATGGAGAGGAGGAGGATAGGAGGAGAAAGGGTGAGGAATGAATGAGAAGAGGAGGAGGAAAGGGTTGAAGGATGGAGGGGGAGGATGGGAAGAGGAAGAAGGTGCTGCGTGGGAGGTTGAATCACAGCTGACCTTGCCATGTTCTTGTCTTTGTATTATGGGTTGTCTGATACTCGCTTGGCTAGGTATTCTTCTTCTTCTGGGAGTGATTCTTCCACTTTTTCACCCACTTTTACCTCTCCCCTCTTTCCTTTCACTCTCCACCTCCTTTTTGCTCTTTCCGTCTCCTCTTTTCCTTACCTCACTCTTCTCCCTCATCACTTCACTGCTTTTCAATGTATGTAGTTCTGTCCTGGAGCTGTTCTTGTCTATTAATGTTCTGTATTCATGTCATGTTTTGTGTGAACCCCAGGAAGAGTAGCTGCAGCTTTCGCAAACAGCTAATAGGGATCCTAATAAAAGACCCTACCTCCCTCTCTCCCTTAACCTCCTCTCCTCCTTTCCTTCCTTCTCACTCTGCCCCTCTCTCTCCTCTCTTCTTTTCCCTCCCTCCCTCATCTAGCTATGTGCAGATGGGTATGACGTCACCAACCTCCTATCGGCCGACCCAGCTGTCCGGAGGCGGGGTTTTAAGCTGGAGTACTTCCTGCAGCCGCCCGTTCAGGTGAGCTGACGCCCTACAATATTTAGAGATGAGTCTTATGACATCACTGTCCTATTCTTCTTAATCTCTTTCTAGAGAAGTGGTCATGTTGGGTGTGTCTGTCTAATCTTCCTTTGTCTGACTCTAGGTGACACTGCAGTTTGGCTTCCAGGTGGAAGTGTGTCGGGTGGATGTGGAGCTGTGGCCCTGGGGCATGGACCGAGGACAGGCCTGCAAGAGGCTGGAGATCAGCACCAGCTCTGACCCCCCACTCCCTCACAACCACAGCCTAGAGCAGGGCCAAATCCAGGCCCAGCATGGCCAAGAGAAGGACCAGCATTGGGACCAAGCCAAGGCCCAGTTCAAAGGCCACCAATGGAGCCTCCAGGCCCAACAATATAGTCTACAAGGCCAGGAGAAGAGCCAGCAATGGACCCAACGTGGCCAAACTCACAGCCACACAGACACCAGCCAGGGGGCTTTCCACCTGGTGGGACGCTGTGAACTAACAGAAGAGACCCACGTCAGTTTTTCCCATCCCTGTTTCCGCCCGCGCCCTCCTTTCCCCTCCTTGCCCCCAGCCCCCCGTGAGGGGTGTAGACAAGAGGAGCTGTGGAGCAGGGGCCCGCTCTCATTAGGCTCTGTGAAGCAGCTCCGTGTGACGGTGCCGTACGGTGCGGGTGCCTCCGCGATGGGGCTCAAGGCACTGGCAGTGTGGGGGCTGCCTTCTCGCTGCTGCCCTCCGGAGGAGGTGGAGAGGGTGAGGATAACACATGAGAACGCTAGCCTGAGACCAGCGCCACGGCTCAGCCACTTGGCATCAGCTCAGCCTTCACCTGTCAATCAACCACAGCCACTGTCACAGACGACAACAGCAACTAGGTACAGTGTGTATAAAACACTGGCTGTTTTCAACACAATATATGAGGCAGATTAATTGCAATTCTTTTCACGAAGGCAAAACCTTAATCTCTGGGAGGATAATAATGTATTTCTCTCCTCTATTTTCTAACCCCCAGCCTCCTGCAAGTCCCTGAGGAGTTCCTGGATCCCCTGACCCAGGAAGTGATGTTGTTGCCCATGCTGCTACCCAGCGGAGTGTCTGTGGACAGCTCTACTCTGGAGGAGTACCAGAGGAGGGAGGCTACCTGGGGTCGCGTCCCCAACGACCCCTTCACCGGTGTTCCCTTCATCCCTGAGGCACAGGCCCTCCCCAACCCCCACCTGAAGAGCCGCATCGACCGCTTCCTGCTCCAGACAGGGTTAGAGGTCAGGGAGGGAGCGGTTGGGAGGCAGGGCCAGGGGGAAAGTCCACACCCCTCCAGACTCATACCCCCACAGAGGACTGGAGAGAGTAGGGACTCTGCTGTCCCCACTGCTGCTGCTGTAGAGTCAGCCAACCACCATGGGGCACTTAGCAGAAACAGTGGGACTCGCACACAGACTACCCAAAAAGGGGCAGAACGTGTTATTACACAGAGGAGCCAGCTTACGCAGCACAGGGGGACCGGAGCTTTTAACAACAGGGCGAAGAATGGGAATGGGAAGGATCAGTGCGCTGGGAAAGTTGGTCCTAAAGAAGGGGGAGTGGATAGAGTGAGTTCCCAGGAGGGAGGGCCAGACTTGGGGACTAGGAGGAAGAGAGAGCTGGAGGTTTGGGCCACTCTGATCCGTTCTAAGGGAAAGGGTGAGCCCACCGGGACCAAAGCAGCCTCTGCTAGTGCTGGTCACTCCAAGGAGCTACTTCCTGACTCGAAAAGACCAAGAACAGACACAAACTCCACTATCTCCTCAGGTGAGTGGTAAACTGGTGTAGACAATGCAAAAACCGTGAGAGCAAAAACATCATGGCATTCTCGCGCTTAGTTAAAAGGCCTTCGTTTAAGGTTGGCTGCATCAAGTATTTGAATGTGTGTCACTTATTAGTGTTTCTGTGTTATTCCTCTTGTTCCAGCCACAGTTCCCAGCGGTAGCTCCCATGAGCAGCGTTTGTCTGCCAGTCTAGACTATGAACAGCGTTTGTCTGCCAGTCTAGACTATGAACAGCGTTTGTCTGCCAGTCTAGACTATGAACAGCGTTTGTCTGCCAGTCTAGACCAAGAACAGCGTTTGTCTGCCAGTCTAGACCAGGCCCTTCTCTCAGCCCTGCAGGGTCGACCCTCCTTTACCTCCTACCCCTCCCAAACCCCTCAGATCCAGCACAAACACACAGACACACCTGCTGACACCCCAACAGGTAGGAACGGCCTCTAGCGGCTCTGTTTGAATTTGGCTAAAATGTACCCTTCCTTGGATTATGAATGCATGACGGGGAAAGTCTTGAGTTGACTAGTCATTGGTTGAACAAGTTAGACGGTCAAGTAGTGGGATGTTGCCTAGGTACCCGGGAGAAAAACACTTTGTCAACAGAGTCAGTCTAAGGACTTTCAGCCTCATTACACTGTACCAAGTTTTTTCAAGTCTTATTTTCACCTACAGTACAATAATAATTTGGTGGGTGATTATATTTGTCCTATTTCACTCATGTACAAGTGGTTATTAATACGCATGTGTGAATTGGAAATTTGTTTTTTGCATATCCAACTCTCCCTGAGACACCCTCGGAGAGTGGGGTCACGGCCAGGGTCTGCCATTACCAACGGTGACCCCATGTGTGCAGAGATGGGTTAACATCTGTCTTTATACTGCATCGTCCTCGACTCGCCATACAAACGTTCTTCCCATTGCTGTAATTCATGTAGTTTGTTTTTAGAGCCTTTTTTAAATTGCGTTTCAGTTGTTGGAGTATTAATACAGTGGTCAGTGAGAGAGAATAAAAGACAAACTGTGAACAGAGACTCATTCAAGGTGTACATACTGCTCAATACATGTATTCTCTTTCTCTCCTTCACCCTTTCTCTCTTTCTCACCCTCTAGCTTTTCCTATTTCTCTCTTCCCCCCCCTTCTCTCCCCACTTCCCTTTCTCTCTCTCCCAGGTGAGAACAGGTGTGGTTCGTGTTCCTGCTCTCTGTCAGTCTACTCAACCTCTCCATCAGCATACCGCCTGCCCTGTGGTCACTTCCTGTGCCGCCCCTGCCTACACAGGAAGTCCCGCCCACTTGTCACTACAGCAATGCCCAATCACATCCTCTGTCCCACCTGCCATAGCCCTGCCTCTTCCAGTGACATCACACACGTGCATCACTGAACGGAAAATGCGTGTGGCATTAACCACTGAACGGGCTACGGTGGCAGGTAGCCTAGCGGTTAAGAGCGTTGGGCCAGTAACCGAAAGGTTGCTGGTTCGTATCCCCGAGCCGACTAGGTGAAAAATTCTGTCTGTTCCCTTGAGCAAGGCACTTAAACCTAATTGCTTCTGTAAGTTGCTCTGGATAAGAGCATCTGCTAAATGACTAAAATGTAAATGAACTGAACAACCCTACGCAACTCACTGAAAACGTGTGTGCTCTTAACCACCAACGGATACTCAGTCACCGCACACTCTGCCTGTGCTCTTCACTGCACATGTGAGCAGCAGAATAGTGGTGGACATTGGAGGAAACACAGATTACAATGGGACTCTTTATTGTCCATTGGGCCTTGATGAACAATGACCTAAAATCCCTCCCTGCCTCTCTACCCCACAGAACTCATTAAAACGTTTACAGACATATCTTCTGAAATGTGTGTTTTAGTTTGTATTATTCACTGTGGTGATGTGGGTTCTACTTATTCCCAGGTGTCATAACTTCAGGAGAACCTTCCCTTTGCTTGGTCGGGGAGTGCGTTTGTTTCTGCTTTATCCAACTTGTCTTGCTAAACCAAGGCAACAGTGTAGCGTCAGTGCATCACACCCTTGGGTGGGCTGCCATTGTAGATTTGTACAGAGGAATAGACAAGTGTGTTCAGTAACAAAGAAAGGTTAGGAGAAGTAGAGAACAGTGGTCCAAGGCTGCTGTCTTATTGAGAAGTGGCCAGTACAGAACAAACCTACCTTTGCTCCCCCTTCCTGCTTTCCCCTTTTTTTCCCCCTTATCTCAAGTTCAAGTTTCAACTTAATTGTCCCAGAGGGAAAATATATTTTGCAGCAATAGTCTTTAAACATAGACATAAAAACGTCCATTGACGATTGACAGGGACTTCATACAGTGCCTAGTGAGTCTACACACCCATTGCAGTCTTCACATTTTGCTGCCTTAAAATTAAACCTAACAAAGGATTACATTAGATTTTTTTTCCTACAGATCTACACAACCTACTCCCCATATTCAACGTGAAAAGGTTCAAACATGTTCTAAATTAATACAAAAAACTATGAAGTCTTGATTGCGTATGTCTTTACACCCCAGAGTTAATACTTGGTGGAAACATCTTTGGCAGACATTACAGCTGTGAATTATTTTGAATATTATTCTACTAACTTTGCACAACACTTAGGGTGACATATATGTCCATTGTTCTGGTCAAAATTGCTCAAGCTCATTAAAAATGTTTGGGAATCATTGATTGATGCAATATTCAAACCTTTTCTCTGATTTTCAAGCAAATTTTATTCAGGACTGAAACTAGACCACTCAAACACTCAACACCTCATGGAAAGCCATTCTGGTGTGTCTTTGGTATAAAAATATTTGTAAATGTCTTGCTGAAAAATAAAACTATCCCAGGGTTAGGTTTTCAGAAGACTGAGGCAGGTTTTTTTGTTTAACTTTTTACCCGGGCTTTGCTCCTTTCACATTTATTTTGATCCTGACAAACTCCCCAGTACCTGCCGATGACAAGCATACCCATAACATGATCCTACCACAATACTTGAAAATACAGAGGGTTTCACTCTGTGTTTGTATTGGATATGACCAAAACCTGTAGTTTTTAATTTAGGCCAAACAGGTAATGTCTTTGTGATGTTTTGCAGTATTACCAGTGGTGTAAAGTACCTAAGTAAAAAATACTTTAAAGTACTACTTAAGTAGTTTTTGGGGGTATCTGTACTTCACTATTTATATTTTTGACTACTCTTACTCCACTACATTCCTAAAGAAAAGAATGTACTTTTTTTAATGTACATTTTCCCTGACACCCAAAAGTACTTGTTACATTTCGAATGCTTAGCAGGACAGGAAAATTGTCCAATTCACGCACTTATTAAGGAGTATTTTTGTCCGCTCTTACAGGAGTAATAAAGCCCTAGTTCAGACAGGAGTAATATCATTTAGTGGATTATAATTTATTTTTTATCAGGGGAGCACCCTCAGCACTCCTAGCACCCACACTTCCCATGGCTATGATTATGGGTATGCTTGTCACCAGCAAGGACTGGAGTTTGTTAAAACAATTATAAATATGAAAGGAGCAAAGCCCAGGTAATAAGTTAGGGGGAAACCCGCCTCAGTCTTCTGAAAACCTAACCCTGGTATAGAATATAATTTTTCCGCGGCACAATTACCCACATTTTAATTCCAAAGACACCAGATTGGCTTTGCAAGAGGTGTTGAGTGTTCCTGAATGGTTCAGTCTCAGTGCTGACTTAAATCTAAATCTGCTAAATCTGCTTAAAAAACTGAGACAATGTTTGAATATTGCTGTCCATCAACGATTCTCAACCGAATTTACTGAGCTTGAACAATTTTGATAAAATCAATGGACATATGTTGCCGTAAGAGTTGTGTAAGGTTGGTAGAATCAGTCAAAATTATTCACAGCTGTAATGGCTGCAAAAGGTGCTTCCACCAAGTATTAACTCTGGGGTGTGAAGACATATGCAATTTTGTATATCTTAGTAATTCAGAAAATGTTCTAATTTTTTTATCACTTTGAAAATGTGGAGTACGTGGTGTAGATATAAAAATTAAATTATATATATTTCCCATTTCATTTTAAGGCAGCAAAATGTGAAGACTGTGCAATCAGTGTGTAGGCTTTCACTAGCAACGGTAAGTGATTCACAGGGACTTCATAGGTGAATAAATGTATCTATACTCTCCTCCACCTCTCTTCTTCCTTGCCTCAATTCATCCTCTCAACCATCTCATGATGAGGACCCTTTGTTGAGTTGTTTGCTGAAGGCTTAAACACTTCCAACCTCTAGGCAAGTGAAAAAATTGTGAGAGGTAGAGGGAGAGTGAACAGAGCGCTCCAAGGATGATGTGTCATTGTGAGGAAACAAATAGCAGAACCATGTGCTGAACTGAACTGACCCCTGGAGGCCTGTACAACATGAATGTCTCTCTGCTCCCTCTCTTCCTGTATTCCTCCTCTCTTCCATCTCAACTGACAGCAGGAGGGCCAGTACAACATGAAACTACTCTACTCAATCCAATTTAGTTGTCCACTTGATTTATTTTACAAGGGGCAATTGTATTAGGCAAACCGTTCAGAAAGCTTTGGACATTTTGTGATTCCCACACCGCAATCCTTACACAGTTTAGGAGTTCCTCCCCACTCTTGAAAGTACAGTGGGGGGAAAAAAGTATTTAGTCAGCCACCAATTGTGCAAGTTCTCCCACTTAAAAAGATGAGAGAGGCCTGTAATTTTCATCATAGGTACACGTCAACTATGACAGACAAATTGAGAAAAAAAATTCTCCAGAAAATCACATTGTAGGATTTTTAATGAATTTATTTGCAAATTATGGTGGAAAATAAGTATTTGGTCACCTACAAACAAGCAAGATTTCTGGCTCTCACAGACCTGTAACTTCTTCTTTAAGAGGCTCCTCTGTCCTCCACTCGTTACCTGTATTAATGGCACCTGTTTGAACTTGTTATCAGTATAAAAGACACCTGTCCACAACCTCAAACAGTCACACTCCAAACTCCACTATGGCCAAGACCAAAGAGCTGTCAAAGGACACCAGAAACAAAATAGTAGACCTGCACCAGGCTGGGAAGACTGAATCTGCAATAGCAGGGGCGGTGTGTTCATTAGGGCGATATGGGCGACGCACTGCCAAACGGGAAAAGGAAGGGATTTTTTTCTAATCAATTATATCACGGCAACAGTAGTTATCAGTGTTCTAATCTAGACGTCTGATCTGCGACTAAATGTCCAATCAGGCTAAAGTCGTGCTTCAAATGCCCCCCCCCCCTTTTGGGGCGATTTCAGTCAGGTTGAAAATCGGCCAGAAGTCTCTCATAGACTCTCATGTAAAAAAATTTTTTTTCAAATATCAGAGCTTTCAATACAATCTCTATGGGTTTCTGAGGGCTTGCACTTACGCGCTTTCGTCATACGTAACATAACCATGAACGTAACTAAGAAAAGAGCGGGTAGCAGCGTCAATCAATTCACGTACTACTATCAAGATGGCTAACGTTCAGTGCAACTCGATTGTCTCTTTGAAAGAAGTTCACATCAAAGACCATTCAAAACGAGCTACTGGAGCAGTGGCGGCTCCTGAAAAAATTCTCAGGGGGGGCAATTCTTCTGATGATTTAGGTGACCTACACACATTTTCAAAAAGATATGTCCAGCAACAACATGAAGACAGGGGCAGCATATAAGTCAATGCCAGAAGCATTTATTGACTGATCTCAAAAGTGTTGGCTTACAAAAGCAAAATAAGTTATCACAGTAAAAATAATCAAGGGTGTTCTTTCACATTCCTCAACACTGCATAAACAATATGCATTTCCATAAACAAATGAAATATCAGCTGAAAATACAGCATCTTGGTATTTGTTCAGATTGCAGGATCAACAAGAGCTTTGCCTCATGGTTGAATTGGAAATATGTGCACCTGAGCATAATTCACAACAAGCAAGCAGGAGCTTTTGATAGAGCCTACTGAAAACATTGATGCAAGTTATTGGTAATAAGAAATTTTTATAGACTTCCATATTCTGCCCTCTTGTATATATTTGTGAAAATGAACAGTGATAGACATTTTGCCTGAAAACAGAATTTGAAAATAATTTCTAGAAAAGGTAAACACAGCTATCTGTATGGCTTTGTAAAAATGAACAACCATATTCTGGCCAATTGTATAGATTTGTAAATATGAACAACCATATTCTGGCCAATTGTATAGATTTGTAAAAATGAACATGAACAGATTATTTTAATTTTTTTACTTTTTTTAAAATGAAAAATAACTATTTTAAACAACATCAACTGTGAACTGATTTGGGCGTGTGTGTGTTAAAGAGACAGACAGGGAGGGACAAAGAGAGAGAGAG